ACTCCACACCTGGTAGCTTTTGTAAATGGGTTTCCAAAATGTCATCGGCCACCGTCAGTCCTTCAGAACCCCAGACATATTTTCTGCTAGTGACATTGCTGCCTCTGGTGGTTGGGTGCCCACACTTGCCCACCCAAGCCTTGGGATCCAGCAGAGCTCAAACATGGGAAATTTGTGAGGATGGAATAATGGGGGACAATTCCACGCAATAGATCATAAAACAAAATGAGGAGACCATCAAACTGAACAAGAACAGGTTTTATCACAAATGCTGGTTTGGGGGGAACAGCAGATTCAGTCAAAGGTCAGGAGGCGTGGCATAGAGATTCAGGAGGCCATGTCTGCACCTTCCAAGAACGTCACCAACGTTGGGCTGAGAGTCTGTTGTCCAGCACCTAAATGTAAGACTTTTCTTGTGGGGCTCCATCTATTTGTAGCATCGCTCTTAGTCTATCTGCTCACCTACGGCTTCTTGTGGGAGGAAAGAAAAACACAGGCAGGCAGGCATGCGGGCATTTGCCTGCCCCACTTCTGGGCTCTGTCAGTCTCCGGAGGGCAGGCAGCACTTCATTTGGGTTCCCAGAGCCTCCACCATCCCATCCTGAACCTCTTGCAGTAGCTAAAACCTTCCAAGGTCTCTCCCTCTCACCTCTAGGACTCTGCACATGCTGCTTCCTCCTCAAACATCCCCCACACCGTTTGCCTGGCAAATAGCATTTTGTCCTTCAGGATGCAGCTCCCGTGTGACCTCTTCCAGGAAGCCTTCTTTGATTTCGCTAGGTCCAGGCTCTGTGCTCCCTCATGAGGCACAGTGCCCTTCCCAAGCAGCTCAGCAGTGAGGCTGCTGTCAGGGGTCATGCAGTAGGGAACGGGCAGTTTCTGGGTATTCAGGGAAGGAGAAAGTGTACAGTCAAGCCTACTTTGGAAATATGTAAAGCAGGAAAACGCCTCGTCTCTGTTCCGGGATCTGTCTCCAGAGAGCCACATCTGATCTGTTTATCAGAGTGAATGGACACATGTACTCAAGGAAGAGTCCCTGGGTCTAAATCCTAGCTCTGCCACTAACCAGTTGCATGGTTTTGGCCTTAACATATCCCTCATCTGTGAAACGGGTACAATAATAGAACTGACCTCACAGGGGTGTTGTGAGAATCACATGAATTACCATGTGTAGAGGGATTAAAATAATAAGTGCCATCTAGCATTTGCTCTCATTATAGTTGTTCATTTCCCTCTGCCTCCTGGGGCTCCCATGCCAGGTCAAGTGCACACTTAACCCTCCACTGCGGTGTGTATACGTTTCCTTCTTAGCACTTGCCATGTTCTGCACTCACACATTCATTCATGGGACCCTTGACTGATGTCGCTTCTCTTCTAGGCTGGCTGTGTGCCATGCGGGTAGGGCCTGGATCTGATACTCTCCCACAGCAAGCCGCCAGATACAAGGGAGCTCAACAGAGGAAGGATCTCAGTGGGTCAGATGTCACTGCCCTCCTTCTTGCAGAACATCGGGCACTGGAGATGACTGTCTAGATCTCTGTAGAGTGTTCTGGGTGCACTGGGCCAAGCAGCTTTGGTTTCAGTTCTCCACACATGAAGTGAACTTGCGGGGCCGGTGCGGGGTGGGGAGGCCCTCTGTGACCCAGCCTTGCCTGCATCACGATGACTGAGCATTCTGGTACTCCAGCCTCTCCCGCCTTGTTGTGCTCCAGCCTTCCTGGCCTGACAGCAACATGCTCAAGAATCCTTGCTTGCTCTTCCTTCTGCCTAGAATGCTTTTCCCATCACAGCTCTCCGCAGATTGGACTCCTTGGCATTCGTTCAGATCCCAGCTCAACTGAGATGCTGGGAGGGTCCTCTCTGAAGTCAAGCCCCCAACCCTGAGTCACTGTCTACCCATGACTTGGCTTTATTTTTTTTTTTCCACAAATGTCCGAATTGCACATATGAAAGGACTTCTTGTGTTTACGCTCTCTTTCCCTGTGGAGCCTGTAAGCATCATGAGGACAAGAACTTTGTCCTGTCACTGATGATTTCCCACTGCCCAGAATGACCCTGGCACGTGGAAGGGACCCACTATTTGATGAGCTGTCAGGTTGAATGGAGACACCTTACGCTCGAGAGCTGTCGCTGTCCAATATGGCAGCCACTGGCTACATGTGGCCAAATTGAAATTGAAGTAAGACTCCAGTTCCCCAGTCATATGAACCATATCTCCAGCACTCAGTGGCCACATATGACTAGTGGCTACCATATTGGATGTGGCAGGTACAGACCATTTTCATCACTTCGGGAAGATCTGTGGCCCGTAGTGATGGACCGTAATCACACATGGCACTTTCCTACTTTTACTCTTTACTTAGGTCATTTTCTCTGCCCGGAGTGCTTTAGCTGATCCTTAATAGAAATCCTATCCATGTAGAATTTGGGAACATGAAACAGAAGCCTTAAGATCAATTCAACAATTACACCTCTCAGAACGTATCCTTTGGTAAATAATTATTAATCTGTGTGAAGATTTTGCTAGAGAAATGTTCAATGCAGCACTGTTTATAGTAGCCAAACACCCACCCCTATACCAAAACAAAGACAAAAACCAGGCAGTGGGGAGAGATTGGTTAAATTATGGTAGAGCCATTTGGAGCACTGGGGTGGCTCAGTCAGTTAAACGATAGGCTGTTGATTTCGGCTCAGGTCATGATCTCAGGGTCCTGGGATGGAGTCCCACATTGGGCTCTGTACTCAGTGTGGAATCTGCTTGAGGATTCTCTCTCTCCCTCTCCCTCTGCTCCTTCCCCCTTCGTGTTCTCTCTCTCTCTCAAAATGGATTTAAAAAACCTTTTAAAAAATTATGGTAGAGTCATCAAAAACAGAAGACTGTATAATGTCATGGAACTCTTTCAAAATACACTGCTAAATGAAAGAAAGCCAGTTATAATGCAGGAAAAAAAGTTACAAAACATGAAGAAATTGGGGCCAGAAGTTTCCAGCCTTATCTGTAAAGTTTGAAACTTTTAAAGAATATAATTAAGTATGTAATTATCAGTCAGTGAGCATGTATTACTGTATGATTTCATTTTTGTTAAAAAAAAAGTCCCTTGGAGTTTTAAAGACCAGATTAAACATTCTATGTAGAAGTGTTTGACGTGGGGGCACCTGGGTGGCTCAGTTGTTAAGCGTCTGCCGTCAGCTCAGGTCGTGATCCCAGAGTCCTAGGATTGAGTCCCATATGGGGCTCCCTGCTCAGCAGGAAAGCTGCTTCTCCCTCTGCCTGCTGCTCCCCCTGCTTGTGCTTGTTCTCTCTCTCTCTCTGGCAAATAAATAAAATCTTTAAAGTCAGACAGTCTTTATTTTATTTTTTTTTAACATTTATTTATTTATTTATTTATTTGAGAGAGAGAGAGAGAGAGTGAGAGAGAGCATGAGCGAGGAGAAGGTCAGAGGGAGAAGCAGACTCCCCATGGAGCTGGGAGCCTGATGCGGGGCTCGATCCCAGGACTCCAGGATCATGACCTGAGCCGAAGGCAGTCGCTTAACCAACTGAGCCACCCAGGCACCCCTATTTTATTTTTTTTAAGCAAAGTAATCTTTGCTTTGCTTATTTATTTATTTAAAGACTTTATTTATTTATTTGACAGAAAGAGAGATCACAAGTGGGCAGAAAGAGAATGGGAAATAGGCTACCTGCTGAGCAGAGAGCCCCATGCGAGGCTCAATTCCAGGATCCTGGGATCATGACCTGAGCCGAAGGCAGAGGCTTAACCCACTGAGCCACCCAGATGCCCCTAAAGTCAAACTGTCTTTAGAAAAAGGAATTTTAAGAACGTGCTGAACACAAAGCTAATATAACATTGTATCACAACTATACTTCAATAATAAAAAATGGTAATGTTAAGACAGTAAATAAACAACTACTTCACAGAGTAAATGCTGAACGAACATGGGCCACTTTTATGCATCAGAAAAAAAGAGTAAAGAGCATATTTGCCAAATGTTAAGAGGAGCTGCCTCTAGGCTGAGAAACTGGGGTGAATTCACTTTCTTCTTTTGGTTTAGTACCCTTTTCTCAGTTTCGTCTAATGAACAAGCATTCCTTTTGAAATAAGGGATGAGGACAAAAAAAGTATTTAAGAAAAATTCTTTAAGGCTCAATTCAAGTGCTAGTTCTCCATGAAGCCTTGTTGCCCCGAGACTGGAGTCATGGCTGCCCTCATCGCAGGGCAGAGGTTGGGGGGTCGGGGAAGTGGAGGGTTCCCTCAGCTGGAAGAGTGGGTAAGTGAGGGGATGCGGCCTGCACGCCCGTTACCAGCTGTCCTGGAGAAGCTTGCCTGATATTTGCAGATGAGCCGTGGCCAGCCCTGGGCAGAAACAAGCCATTGGCCAGACTGGAGCCAATGATTCCCTGCCTATCCTTTTTTCTCAGGGAGCCAGTAACTGGGGACCCTGCAAGCAGCTTGGGGGTTCCTGTCAGTGGAAAAGGAGGTGGAGTGTGAGAGCTGGCGGCCCACATGTCTTAGGAGGATTCAGAGGTGATGAGCGAGGCCCATGGTGGTCCGGATCCCCCAGCAGCCCCTGCTCTTTTTCTTGGTTGTGGGGGGTGGGGGCGGGAAGAAGGGTAATTTGGTTTATGCTTCGGTGCACCAAGAAGGCCTGCCCCTTTATCCCTACGAACCTAAGAACTAAGAGTGTGGCATCTAACGTTAGCATCCAACGTCCAGGTTTGACTCCTGCTTCCCCGCTTCCCCGTACTAACTCTGTGAGTTACTTAACCTTCCCGCGCCTCTCTTCTCACCCGTAAAATGGGAGTATTGATTATAGCATCTTGGAAGAAGCGTGAAATTCGCTGGATAAACTCTGTTCACAGTTCCTCTTTTTAGCCAAGACACAAGACTCTGGGCAGGGAAGGTTCCCGCGCCCACAGCGGAACTGCGGGGATGGGGCCCATTTATTGCGCCCCCCCCAAAAACCCGCAGCTCACAAGGCGCGCCTCCGGGGTGAGTCCCTCCGGTTCCCCGCTGCGCCCCCGGCGACCGCCCGACTTCCTGCGGGTCCCCGCCCGCTGCGCCCCGCCTAGTGCAAGGGGTCCCGAGGGTCCAGCGAGCGGAAGGGGCTGGGCCGGTGGGAGGAGCGCAAGGCGGAGGTCGGGGGGTGGCGCTTCGCGAAGGGGCCGAAGTACTCCGCGGCGAAGATGACCACGTCTGCGGGCTGGCGCAGCAGCAGGAAGAGCAGGAAGTCCGAGATGAGCGCCTGGGCCTCGGGGTGCTGCCGCAGGTAGCTGCTGTGGCTGAGACGGAGCTCCTCCTGGCGGGGACCGAGCCTGAGCAGGACCCGGGACCCCGCGCTCCGGGAGCACCCCTCCGCCGCCCCCTTCGCTCCAAGGAGGGCCCCCCAACCGTCCGGGTGTGCCTCTCAAGCAGGCACAAAGAGGCATCGGTAATGGTGGAATTCATGCGCAGGGCGCAATGGGGACCCCAGGCTGGCTGCATCCTCTCCTCACCTTCCGGTCCACGAACCTCGAGTAGAGCTCCATATCCTCCTCCCACACCAGGGGCTTCTTCTCAAATACGGGGCGAGGCTCAATCTCATCTGGGTGCGGAGGGAGGAAGGCGGCACTCTCCCACGCCAGAACCTTCCCCAGATACAGGGGCATGCCCAAGAATACTCAAATTGCAGTCCCAGGTGGAGCCCCGGGTTCTGCTCAGATGGCCAGAGTTGCTGGAAGGGAGTCCTTGCAAAGTGATCCTCCCCTAATTGCCTTGGAGTCAGGGGCTGGAGGGCAAAACTTCCCCGTCTCCACTCAGTCCAGCCTCTGCACCCCGGAAGGTCCCTGTTTTCCCCACCTCTCCTTCGTGAAGTCTCCACCAGCCAGCGGCTTCACTCACCCTTCTCCGTCAAGATAGGCATCTGGGTGATCAGGCAGTACCCGGGGGAACCCACCTGGATTCTCTTGGCCAGGTGCCTGGAATACAATGCAGGTGTGACAGTGGGAGTCTTCCTACACCAGCCCACCCCTCTGGCAGCGGTTCTGGGGGCCTCCCTTTGCTGCTGCTTCCCCAACACCACTTATCTCTGAGTTCTAGGGTCATGTTCATTCCTAGGTCCCCAGATAATGGTCCAGCTTTTCAAACTGGGTCTTGTCTGTGCGCTTGAAGATGTGTGCTGGTGTGCACTAAAACACTCACCACGGGCGCCTGGGTGGCTCAGTGGGTTAAAGCCTCTGCCTTGGGCTCAGGTCATGATCTCAGGGTCCTGGGATCCAGCCCCGCATGGGGCTCTCTGCTCAGCAGGGAGCCTGCTTCCCCCTCTTTCTCTGCCTGCCTCTCTGCCTACTTATGATCTCTCTCTCTCTGTCAAATAAATAAAATCTTAAAAGAAAAAACCTCACGAGCCTCCTGCTTCGTGACCCCCCAAATCGAAACAACATGCTGTTATAAAATAAGGAAAGCCAACGATGTTCCGATTATTTGTTTTCCCAATGTAATGATTCTATCAATACCTTTTTGGAAATTTCAAGAAACAAATTCTAACCCCCCTCTCCCTCCCCAATTTTCAAATGATTTTGCTCCTGTGCTGGGCTAATGACAGCTTGGCAATGTGCCAGGATGTCCCCCTCGCCCCCCAACGCACATTGATTCTACCCAGTGTGGTTGTTCAGACCTTGGTGCTTTTTGGTATTATACCCAGCGGTGGCAGCTGCTTTAGCTACCATGCCTTAGGCCTTGTGAGGTTAGCATTGACTTTCTCAGCCCTTCAGGGCTCCTTGGTGAGGTTTGGGCGAGACTGCATCAGGGAAAGCATACCTATTGGGCACGGATTGGGCATGGTAAGAATCAGGAGTAAATGTGTGAATGATGTGGAAAAGAATGAATGATGTGGATAAAGCAGGGGGCGCTCTTCCTGGTCATGTCCCCAGAGACAGTAGTCTTCCTTGGCCCCATGCCCGCCCCCAGGATCCAGCTCCCAGGCTTGTGCTCCACACTGCCCCCTAACTGTCAGTAGCTCACCCATCCGACAGCAGATAGAACTGGCAGGAATTGGGGATGCCTTTCACTGAGTGGACGGTCTGCTCCACGATGAACACCTCTACCTGCTGGCGGTCCACCTGAATCTTCTGGAAGCCCAGGTCTTGCTGACAGCAGCCAAGATAAGAGGGAGGGAGGTGAGGTGGATGCCCACCAGCATCTCCCCCAAATCTCACCCTGGCCCTTTTCTCCATCTTGCTGCTTCGTTCCTTGTTTATCAGTGACAAACAACCCTTGGCTGTCCAGGCCCTCAGCCACCACAGGATTTTAATCGCACCCCCAAGTTAAGTGGGGGTCCCCTTGTAGAAGGCCAGTTCCATGCTGCACTCGCCCTACGCTCCCCTCATCATCTTGATGACCAAGTTCTCCTGGTTGGCAGACTCAGATACGGGATGAGATCATCCAACAGGTGTGAGCCTGAGGAGGTGGGGGCAGGGAGGGTGGGGAGGGTCTTTAAGGGAGGGGTCCGAGATGCTCTGAGGAGGGGGCTAGATTGAGATCTGTGGCTCCTGCTGCTGCAGGCAGGCCGCCCTGTTGTTGTTACAATTTAAAACGCCGGGAGCAGCTGTGGACACAGGCCAAAAGGAGCTAATGCAGGACCTGTGTTTCAGAGAAGGTGGGGGAAGTGATATGGGCCTGTTTGTATCAAATACATTGCTGTTTGTCATGTTTGTGATAGAAAAGACTGGAATGTCATTTACAAAGTTGGTGAAATCAGCCCCCAAAACGTGTGCTTAGAAGCATAGCTTTAAAATCACACATGGCAGAAAGTCCTAGGTATGGCGATCATGAAGTTTTAGCCACAAGAAAAGAAAAAGAAAAAAAAAAAAGGAACCCTTCAGGTCTGAGACATAATAAAAATGCAGTTGGAAATGGTGCATTTCCTGATGTTAAAAAAATACGTCTTTTAAAAGCAGCCCTCCGCTATGTTTATTTTTCCTGGACTGACTTCTGGGCAAGAAGCATTGCTTCTCAATTGCTCCCCGCTTTGTTTCCTCTTTTTCATGCCACCTGCCCCCACGTGATCTTTGAACACATGAAGACTTGTTTTCTCCTGCCCTTGGAAGTCCCACCGGCAGGGCCCCAGCCCACCTGCTCTTCCTCCCCTGAAGCTGTCTTTTCCCCTGCTTCGGCGACCTCCGTGCCCTTCCTGGCTTTCGCCAAGGCCAAGTCCCCCACCCAGGGAGACCCCTCACGTAAGTGGAGTAGCAGAGTTCGCCCTCCATGTCCAAGGCCAGGAAACGGGCATTGCTGGGCACCGTCTGCCGCCAGGCCATCACCCTCAGCAACACCAGGTTGGCAGCCTCTGAGATGAAGCCCGTGGTTGAGCTCCCTGGGATAAAAGTCACTTCGGTCTTGACTTCCTGTTCAGGAAAAGTCTGGGTCAGGGACTTCCATCTGGGAAGGGGTGGGGAGGACGGGAAAGCCAGGTATTGGGCTCATATAGGGTACTTGCCGAGTCTCCATGCCTTGCTCCTGTCCTAACACAATCCGGCCCCTGCTCTTGGCTTCGAAGAGGATGTGGGGAACGGCCCCTACCTGTCTCTTGCCCTTACCTCCCCCTCCTTGACACTTCTGGTCATGGTCAGCTGGTCATCCTGCTTCACCAAAGTCATCTTCCTCTCCATGGGGAGGACGCGGAACTAAGGGCCAGAGCAGGGAGGGGAGAAGCAAGAGCTGGCCTGGGTCCCGATTGAACATGAACAGCACCCCCACAGGTCGCCTTGCCCCATTCTCCTTTAGAAATGAGAAAACTGAGGGAAATTTGGATAGAAAATCTTCGCTTTGTAGCGAAGTTCAAGACCAGAAGGCATATGATGGTGTAATAGAAAGTTAAAAAGCAAATGCCCTTCAGAACATGGGTTTTAAAAGAGGGGAATGGTTTCTGTGGGAAAGTTCTTAGGCATGTGTGCTTTCCAGCGTGTAAAACTGGTCCTGTTCCAGAAGTTAATGAAGTGGCTGCAGCTGGGTGTGGGAGGCACAGAGCAGGAGAATTTGGAGGTGAGGAGAATTTGGAAAAGTCCAGGCTCTGGGAAAGGCTGGCCCGAATGGTCCTCACGGAGCTACTGGGCTCTCAGCCTGGGGAGCCCCCAGGTGGACTAGACCCAGGGTTCGTGTATTAGAAGGTTGTGAGATGCAACCTGTTGCCCCAGATGGATTGGTTTCCAAGTGTGATGGGGATTACAGGGTAACTTTGAGAGAGCTGGGGGTGACATCCTGCTGAGTCCCCTCATTCTTCCCTCCCTCCCTCCCTCCCGGGGTCTCCATTCTTTCTCCCTGGTTTGGGGTCTAGGCTTGGGGCTCCAGGGTGTACCTTGATGAACTCTTGACTATGTTGCTCCATGACATGCAGTTTCCATGAGAGGTAGCCTGGGGCAGGAGAGGAAGGCTGCCGTCACTACGACCTCATCACAGGCGACAGGCTGGGAGACCGCAGGGCGGGAGGGTGGGGGCCCAGGCTGGAGGACGCAGGGGGACTGTGACTGCAGGGAAACTAAGAGGTGCTCTTGTCGTAAGTCTGCAGCTGTGATTAACATCCCTGTCACCCCCACCTCCTGCACACCCTCCTGGCCGCCTTCTGGTCTCAAGGTGAAGTCCAGGGTGGGTCCTGAGTGAAGGTCCTAGGAATGGGGGTGGAGGGGGGAAGGAGGAAGGACGGAGGTGAAGCCTCAGGCAGCGCAAGTCTACCCAGGAGGGAGTTTCCGCAGAGCATCTTGTCCATGAAGCCACGGCTAAAGGCGTGCACGAAGAGGCAGTGTGACATCACACCAAATTCATCTTTGTTTTGCCGTCTTTGCACCTCAATGGTCAGCTCTCCCTGAGGCTCCCCTGTGTCCGAGACCATGGCCAGAGTCTCAGAGAACAGCAGCATCTGCAGCTCCTCCTGCTCTGGGGGTGGGGAGGTTCCCATGGGCACAGATAAAGCCCCAGCTCCTGGGTCTCAACTCTCAGAACCCCCCCTCCCCGCAAGGCCCCACTGTCTCCACCCACCCCTTCCTCATCTCCTGGGTCCCAGGCAGCTCCTGCCTCCCCTCCATTAGCCTGTACAACAGACAGCAGATGAAGACCCCGCCACCACCCCGAGTCCCCATGTCCTTGGGGTCTTCTCTCGACAATTATCAACAAATAGGGGCATCTGGTGGCTCAGTGGGTTAAGCTTCTGCCTTTGGCTCAGGTCATGATCTCAGGATCCTGGGATGGAGCCCCATGTTGGGCTCTCTGCTCAGCGGGGAGTCTGCTTTTCCCTCTCCTTCTGTGCTCTCTCTCAAATAAATAAATAAATAAATATTTTATTTTATTTTTTTAAGATTTATTTATTTATTATTTTAGAGAGAGAGAGGGAGAAAGCCTGAGCCCAGGAGCTGGGTGGGGAGGGGCAGAGGGAGAGGGAGAGAGCATCTCAAGCAGACTCCCTGGCTGAGCAGGGAGTCTGACATGGGGCTCGATCTCGGGACTCTTGAGATCATAACCTGAGCTGAAAGCAAGAGTCAGAGGTTTAACTGACTGAACCACCCAGGTGCCCTAAATAAATAAATCTTTACAAACAATTATTGGGGCACCTGGGTGGCTCAGGCAGTTAAGCATCTGCCTTCAGCTCAGGTCATGATCCCAGGATCCTGGGATGGAGCCCATGTCAGGCTCCCTGCTCAGTGGGGAGCCTGCTTCTCCCTCTCCCCACTGCTCATGCTCTCTCTCTCTAATAAATAAAAAAAATCTTAAAAAACACACACACACAAAATCAAAACAAAACAAAAAAACCTTTCTGTGTTAAAAAAAAAAAAATCAGTAACCCTAGAACCCTTTCTGAGTCCCAGGGGAATCAAGGCTGAGAGAGACAGTGCCAGGTCTGGGCCTTCTCTCTTCTCTCCTCTCCACATCTGTGCCCCCACCGCCCCCACTGTCCAGGCTCACCGAGGGTGCTGAGGAAGTGGATGGCTTCAGCATTGGCCTTTGGGGCTGGCAGACTCTCTTCAGCTGAGGGCTGGTGGTCCTTGGCTTTGGGGATTAGGGAGGGAGGAGAGGCTGAGATGGCAATCTTGGGGAGAGGGACAGGGGTGGGATATGAGTCCCCAAAGCAGAATCCCCAAGGCCACCTCAAGGAGGATGGTGGGGGAGAAGAGGAGAAGATGCCTCTTCAATTTCCAGTGCCAACAGCCCTCTTCCCACCTGTGGATTGAAGTTTAGAGGACATGCTGCCTTCTGCTACCCAGGCTGCGTCCAGCTGTCTCCATGGCAACCGGAAGCCAGCTACCGCCTCTTAAAGGGCCATCAACACATCTCACAAAACACCCAGACCTGGACACAATGGTAGGAAGTGTGGGCTTTGGAACTCAGGCCATGCCTGAAGCATTGTCCTGCAGAGGGAACATTTGACATGGCAGAGGGATGACATGGGTCATTAGGATCACCTTAGGGAGTGCCTGGCTGGCTCAGTTGGAGGAGCATGTGACTCTTGATCTCAGGATCATGAGTTCAATCCCCACGTTGGGTGTAGAGATTACTAAAAAATAATAAAAAAAGAATGACCTTGGAAGCTGTGGCCTTGAGTCAGACATGACCTCACACACGTAGAACCCACTTAGATGCCCTGTGAATAGTGCCCTATGTGAGAATGATGGTGATAACAATGACAGTCAGAGCAAACCCTTAAGCTATGCTTACGGTAGACCTGGCACTGTTCTGGAGAGCTGGACACAGGTGATCTCATTCAATATTCAGACCAACCCTCTGAGCAGGTCCTTTTTTCCCCTGCACTTTATGGCTGAGAAACCTGAGGCACTGAGAGGTTAAATGTCTTCCCAAGGTCACAGGGCTGATAGAGTTGATCCTTGGGCAGCACGGGTTTGAGCTGCCTGGGTCCACTTATATGTGGATGTTTTTCAGTAAATATGGTACAGTAATGTAAATATGTTTTCTCTTCCTAATGTTTTCTTTTTCCTTCTTCTTCTTAAGGATTTTATTTATTTAGATGGGGGGTAGTGGCAGGAGGAGAGGGGGAGAGAGAGAATCTCAAGCAGACACAGAGCTCTATCCCACCACCCTGAGATCATGACCTGAGCTGAAATCAAGAGTGCGATGCTTAATTGACTGAACCACCCAGGCAGCCCTTTTCCTTATGACTTCTTAGAAACATTTTCTCTCACTTACTTTATTGGAAGAACACCATATATAATAACAGAATGTACAAAATGTGTGTCAATCAACATTTTATGTTATCTGTAAGACTTTGGGTCAATAGTAGACTATTAGTAGTTAAGTTTGGAGAGAGTCAGTTATATTTAGCTTTTCTTTCTTTTTTAAAAAGTTTTTCCTTTTTTTAAAACACAAATTTCATTTTTTTTCTTAAGTTTGTTTATTTATTTAAGTAATATCTACATCCAATGTGGGCCTCTAACTCATGACCCCAAGATCAAGTCACATGCTCCTCCCACTGAACCAGCCAGGTGCCCCATGCCCAGATTTTCAACCGTGTCCGAAAGGGCGGGGCAGTGTTGGTGAGCCCAGCCGCCATGTTGTTCAAGGGGCAACCGTAATTGGCAGAGCCATGACTCAAGCCAGTCTGTCTCCTAGAGAGAATTCGAAGAAAAATGAAGCAGCAAATAGACAATAGGTTGAATCCAAACAAGTGCTACAGAACGGGTAGTGATTGGTGACAATCACTGATTGTCCCTCCCCCTGAGTTATGATAGGACTCAGACCCCAGGTTGTGGCCGATCTGGTCCCCACCTTGTAAGTGTCTGAGTCTGCATCATAGTGGCTACAAAAAGGGGCTCAGCCTGAAAGAATCACACACACAAATCTTCTCCGAAACCTCCATCACCAAAGGAATTGCCCACCCACCCCCGACCCCCACCATAGTCCTCAGGATGGTAATCTTCCAATGTCTTCTCATTAGGTAATTACCAACTTCGGGAAGATTTAGAATTATGTGTAAGCAAAGGAAACAGTTAACAAAACCAAAAGACAACTGACAGAATGGGAGAAGATATTTGCAAACGACATATCAGATAAAGGGCTAGTATCCAAAATCTATAAAGAACTTAGCAAACTCAACACCCAAAGAACAAATAATCCAATCAGGAAACGGGCAGAAGACATGAACAGACATTTCTGCAAAGAAGACATCCAGATGGCCAACAGACACATGAAAAAGTGCTCCATATCACTCGGCATCAGGGAAATACAAATCAAAACCACAATGAGGTATCACCTCACACCAGTCAGAATGGCTTAAATTAACAAGTCAGGAAACGACAGATGCTGGTGAGGAAGTAGAGAAAGGGGAACCCTCCTACAGTGTTGGTGGGAATGCAAGCTGGTGCAACCACTCTGGAAAACAGCATGGAGGTTCCTCAAAAAGCTGAAAATAGAGCTACCTTATGACCCAGCAATTGCACTACTGGGTATTTACCCTAAAGATAAAAACGTAGTGATCCGAAGGGACACGTGCACCCAAATGTTTATAGCAGCAAAGTCCACAATAGCCAAACTATGGAAAGAACCTAGATGTCCATCAACAGATGAATGGATAAAGAAGATGTGATATATATATATATACAATGGAATACTATGCAGCCATCAAAAGAAATGAAATCTTGCCATTTGCGATGACGTGGATGGAACTAGAGGGTATTATGCTGAGCGAAATAAGTCAATCGGAGAAAGACAACTATCATATGATCTCCCTGATATGAGGAAGTGGAGATGCAATGTGGAGGGTTTGGGGTATAGGAAAAGAATAAATGAAACAAGATGGGATCGGGAGGGAGACAAACCATAAGAGACTCTTAATGTCACAAAACAAACTAAGGGGGTCGGGGGGAGGTGGGTAGGGAGAGGGTGGTGGGGTTATGGACATTGGGGAGGGTATGTGCTATGGTGAGTGCTGTGAAGTGTATAAACCTGGCGATTCACTGACCTGGAGCTAATAATACATTATGTACTTATAAAAAAATTAAAAAAATAGACTAAAAAGAAAGAATTATGTGTAGAATTGCTTGAGACAATTGAACTAACAATGTTAATTTTTGTGTGTGTCATATTGTGCCTATTTGGTATTTCAAGTTCTTTAAAATAATTTGGCATAGAAGGATGCTTAAAAGATAAGTCTTGAGGGGCACTTGGGTGGCTCAGTCAGTTAAGTGTTTGACTTCAGCTCAGGTCATGATCTTAGGGTCCCAGGATCGAGCCCCACATGGGGCTCCCTGCTCAGCGGGGAGCCTGCTTCTCCTTCTCTCAATGTCCCTCTCCCTTTGCCCATACTCTTGCACACACTCTCTCTTTCATATGAATAAATAAAAAATCTTTAAAAAAAAAAAGAGAAGTCTTGAGATTCTAATTTACATCAGGCAGTTGAATGGCACCTGGCTGGGTCAGTCATAGAGAGTGGGACTCTTGAGCTTGGTGGTTGTGGGTTCGAGCCTCACATTGAGTATAGAGAGTACTTAAAAAAACAAAAAAACTTTAAATAAATTGGGGGCACCTGGGTGGCTCAGTGGGTTAAGCCTCTGCCTTCAGCTCAGGTCATGATCCCAGGGTTCTGGGATAGGGTCACGCATCAGGCTCTCTGCTTGGTGGGGAGCCTGCTTCCTCCTCTCTCCCTGCCAGCCTCTCTGCCTACTTGTGATCTCTGTCTGTCAAATAAATAAATACTCTTAAAAAAATACATATATACATACATACATACATACATACATACATACATACATTGGGCAGCTGAATAATTGATTTAGACTGAACTCTGAAGTTAAATTCTTACTGGATGGGAATGCAAGTTGGTGCAGCCACTTTGGAGAACAGTGTGGAGATTCCTTAAGAAATTAAAAATAGAGCTTCCCTATGACCCTGCAATTGCACTACTGGGTATTTACCCCGAAGATATAGATGTAATGAAAAGAAGGGCCATCTGTACCCCAATGTTTATAGCAGCAATGGCCACGGTCGCCACTGATGCTATAATGGCATAGCATCAATGTGGAAAGAACCAAGATGCCCTTCAATGGACGAATGTGGTCCATATACACTATGGAGTATCGTGCCTCCATCAGAAAGGATGAATACCCAACTTTTGTATCAACATGGACGGGACTGGAAGAGATTATGCTGAGTGAAATAAGTCAAGCAGAGAGAGTCAATTATCATATGGTTTCACTTATTTGTGGAGCATAACAAATAACATGGAGGACATATGGAGATGGAGAGCAGAAGGGAGTTGAGGGAAATTGGAAGGGGAGATGAACCATGAGAGACTATGGACTCTGAAAAACAACCTGAGGGTTTTGAAGGGGCAGGGGGTGGGAGGTTGGGGGATCCAGGTGGTGGGTATTATGGAGGGCACATATGGCATGGAGCACTGGGTGTGGTGCATAAACAATGAATTCTGTTACGCTGACAAGAAATTAATAAAAAAAAAGGAAAATGAAAAAAATTCTTACTGGAATTGTAAATAGAACCAAAACATTTTTTAAAAACATTAAAATTTTAAAAATAAAATAAAATGAAGAAACTTAAATTTTGCTGTATGTATGTATGTATGTATTTATTATTATTATTATTATTTATTAACCTCACAGGAGCCCAGGGGGTTCCATATGTATGTATTTATAAGTAGGCTCCACACCCAACATAGAGTCCAACGTGGGGCCCAAACTCATGACCCTAAGATTAAGACCTGAGCTGATATCAAGAGTTGGACACTGAACCGAGCCACCCAGGTGCCCCCAAATTTACTATATTTATATGTTTATTTTTATTAGATTACAAATAAAGTACTTGGGAGGCTGGTTTCTCTTTTTTTAAGATAACTGGATTCTTTTTTTTTTTTTACTTATTTTTTCCAGCTTTATGAGATATAATTGACATATAATAATCAGTTCCCTTTAAAAAGGAAGTAGAATATCTGGGATGAATAAATATAACATAAACTGCTTAGAGCGGCTGCAATTTTGAAAAGAGGACCAATTTTTTTTTTAAAGATTTTATTTATTTATTTGACAGAGATCACAAGTAGGCAGAGAAGCAGGCAGAGAGAGAGGAGGAAGCAGGCTCCCTGCTGAGCAGAGAGCCCGATGCCTAGGACTCTGGGATCATGACCTGAGCTGAAGGCAGAGGCTTTAACCCACTGAGTCACGCAGGTGCCCCAAGAGGACCAGTTATTAAAGTCCCCTTAAAAGTTATTATTAACATTTACTGGATTTATGATGAAAATAGGACTAATAAGTTGAACTTAAAGTTTTAAAATGCTTATGTTTTAAAATTTGCAATTTAAGAAACTGAGTATTAGCTTTTTAAATTTTATTTTTTACTAGGTTTTTTTTTTTTTTTTTTGTAAGCTCTACCCACAATGTGGGGCTTGAACTCGTGACCTCAAGAGCAAGAGTCTCGTGCCCTAGCCGACTGAGCCAGGTAGGTGCCCCTAATTTTAATTGTTTTTTTTT